GACACAAATGCTCTCTCTCTCTCTCACACACACACACACACCGGTTGTTTCCCAGTAGCAGCACACGCAGACAGCGCAGCGAGGAGAGTCCGCACATGTCAATCAGCCGGTTGCCATGGAGATCGAGCAGCAGCAGGCTCCGCAGGCTCTGGAGGTGCTGCAGGTGTGTAATCAGGTTGTGCTGCAGGTTCAGCTGACGCAGCTCATGGAGAGACTGCAGATCCGGCAGATCAGTCAGTCCACGCCTGCCACGTACACACACACACACACACACACACACACACAGCAGAGAAAACATGCAAACACACACACTGATGAGCACTGCTTTAATGACACACGTGTTCAAACAGACAGGCAGAGAGAGAGACGCTTCTGCCTCCTGCTGGACACTAGATCATCACAGATTCAGAAAAACACACATATTTTAAACAGTCTAAATAATAAATATATCAACATTTTCAAAATACTATTCACATTTTTTTTTTTTATTTTAAGTTTAAAAACAATATCTCAAGCCAAAAGATATGTAAAACATGTAAAAAAGAAATTAAAGTAAAATAAAACAAACAAAGTAAATACACTAAATTAAAAAATAAAATATAAAATTTAAATAAAAAATGTAAAAAAAGGAAATAAAATATTTAAAATAAAATAAAATAAACAAACTAACTAAAATAAATATAAAATTGAATAAAACTTTTAAATTAAATGATGAAATAATATGATTTAAATCAAATAAAACAAACTGTCAAAAATAAATATAAAGTTAAATTAAACTTTTAAATAAAAAAATACAAAATAAAAAATGTAAATTAAACAATAACATAAAATATTTTAAATAAAAAATAAACAAACTAACTAAAAATAAATATAAAATTTAATAAAACTTTTAAATAAAATATAAAATTGAAATCAACTAAAAATTTAAAATAAATAATGAAATAGAGTATTGATTTAAACAAAACAAAATAAAACAAACTAACTAAATAAAAAATAAATATAAAATTTAATACAACTTTTAAATAAAATATAAAATTGAAATCAACTAAAAAATTTAAATAAATAATGAAATAATGAAAGAGTATTTTAAAAAATAAATAAATAAAACAAACTAACTAAATAAAAAATAGATATAAAACTAAATAAAACTTTCAAATTAACCGATGAAATAATATGATTTAAATCAAATAAAACAAACAAAACTGTCAAAATTAAATATAAAATAAAATTAAACTTTTAAATAAACCAAAAAATATTAAATAAAAATGTAAATTAAACAATAACATAAAATATTTTAAATAAAATAAAAAAACAACCTAGATTAAAAATAAATATAAAATAACAAAAATAGTAATATATATAAAAAATTAAATTAAAATAATAATCAAATTAAGCTAAAATAATGAATGAATGCACAGTCTCTGGTAAATCACAAAACTAATGAAGAACATGGCAGATCTTTAAAGTTGCCAACATTTGAGTGTTGAATGAACGTGGTACCGGTCCAGATCGAGTCTCTCAGGACAGGAAGAGATGTCATCTCTGAAGCTGGTGGCAGACAGGAAATTGGGGACAGAACTGTCACGCAGACTTCCTGTTTCACCTTCAGAAGAGACGATAATGATCAGCAGCAGAAGAACAGCGGCTCGACATCAGCTGAAGAGTCAGCACATAACATGTCTGTTAGGACTCTGGAGGAGTGTGTGTGTGTGTGTGTGTGTGTGTGTGTGTGTGTGTGTGTGTGTGTGTGTGTGTGTGAGCGTCTGTTCTGGGTTAGTGTGTGTGTGTGTGAGAAAAAATGTATTCGTGAGAGAGAAAGAGAGAGAAGACACTGCGCATTTGTATAAGAGTGTGTGTGTGTGTGTGTGTGTGTGTGTGTGTGTGTGTGTGTGTTTTGATTGTGCAGCATGGTGTGAGCTGTGTGTGTGTATTGTGATTTAATTTATGTGTGTATGTGTGCGAGTGTGTGTTCTGTTATAGTGTGTATGTGTGTTTGTGTGTGTGTGTGTGTGTTTGCACTTTTGTTAATTTGAGTGTGTATGTTTGAGTGTGTGCATGCTTGCGTATATTTGAGTATAGAGAGAAAGATACACACAAGTACACACACATACAAAGAGAAACACACACACACACACACACACACAAACACACACAAACACACACAAACACACACACACAGAGTCCTGTACCGCTTGTGCATGGCTGTGTTTTCAAGGCGTCCACATTGAAAGTGTTCTTCAGGTCAGTTGATAACCTCAGATCCAGCTGATGAATGAAGAACATCACAACATTACAGTCACGCTCACTGCTGAACAACTTAATGAAAACAACAGCCAATCACAATCAAGCGTTCAGCAGAGCCCAGAGGATAAACGATAATAATATTGATGAACAGAATATTAATGTGGTCAACAGAAGATACACTCACCGGCCACTTTATTAGGTACACCCCACTAGTACCAGATTTGACCGTTTTACCTTCAGAACTGCCTTAATCCTTCATGACAGAGACTCAACAAGCTACTGGAAATATTCCTCAGAGATTTTGCTCCATATTGTCATGATAGCATCACACAGTTGCTGCAGATTTGTCGGCTGCACATCCATGATGCCAATCTCCCGTTCCACCACATCCCAAAGCTGCTCTATTGGATTGAGCTCTGGTGACTGTGGAGGCCATTTGAGTACAGTGAACTCATCGTCATGTTCAAGAAACCAGTCTGAGATGATTGAGCTTTATGACATGCTGCGTTATCCTGCTGGAAGTAGCCATCAGAAGATGGAGACACTGTGCTCATAAAGGGATGGACATGGTCAGCAGCAATACTCAGGTAGGCTGTGGCGTTGATGCTCAATTGGTACTAATGGACCTAAAGAAAATCTCCCCCACACCATTACACCACCACCACCAGCCTGAACCGCTGATACAAGGCAGGATGATCCATGCTTTCATGTTGTTGAGGCCAAATTTTGAGCCGAGCATCTGAATGTGGTAGACATTTGCGCTAACAAGCAGTTGGACAGGTGTACCTAATAAAGTGGCCGGTGAGTGTATTTCAGTGTTCTGTCAATAGTTATGCTCTAGTGGACCTATAACTACCTCTGAACTCACACAAATCCCCATCCAATTAGATAAATGGCTTTTATTTCCTATTTTCTGACCCACTAAATGCTTTATTTTCCTTTAATTCTTTGTTTCACTTGGCTTTGGTTGTTTGTGGGTTTTAGTAATTGTGAAGCACACTGGTCAGCTCGGGTTGTTTTATATTGTGTTGCTATATAACTGAGCAGTCTTTCATTCACACACATAACATTTCATTCCAGAGACATTACAAGATGTGTAGAAAGTGTTGAAGTGTGTGTGTGTGTGTGTGTAACATAAAGCACAGTGGTGGTGATCATTGATAAACACTCACAGGTCTGCGGCTCAGTCTGTCCGGCAGTAAAGAGCTGACTGCTGCAAGATGCTGCTTATAGCTGCTGTGAACCTGCAGAAACACGCACAACATCAGAAACACCACAACACACTGGATTTACATAATGCTGAACTTATATATACTGCTGCTTATTATTATGCGACTTCTTTAATGCATTTTACACAACAGTCCATGATACATTTTATTTACTTCATTACAAATATATTATACACATACAGTACAGTGGTGTGAGCTAGTCTTGTTTCTTGCATAAACATCTCAAAATTCTAAAATCAAGAAGCATTTTCTAGGCAAGCGAAACAGATAGTCTTGTTTTCAGAAACAATGGATCAAAATGAAGGCAGTTTTTCCATAAAACAGGCAACATATTCTGCCAGTGGAGTAAATAAAACAATCTAGTTTTCGCTTCTTTATTAATAACATTATTTTGCTCATTGGCTTGATTTAAGGAAAAAATGTGATTAAAATTATACTACATTATAAAAGACAACAAGATTAAATGTTAAAAAGAGCAATATACATCCACACAGTATTATAACTCTACACACAAAAGCCCAGCAGGTCAAACAATCTCATAATAGACCATGTGTGTAAACACTGCAACACTTTTAAAGTCCTCTATTACACACTACATTCTTTTCTAATTGTTGTTATTATGTCCAATAAACATGCTGAGCAGTGAATGAGCTCATGACTATTCATCACTGTGTTTTTGAACCACAATATTTACTATATAATGGTTCAAAAGCACTACAGTATTTACAATAATACAAGTACTTGAATTAATTATTCTGTTAATTTTACAGTTGCTATGGTAACAACAACTATATCAGTCTATCTGTTGTAGTGATGCTACAGTTGCTATGGTAACACAACAACTATTTCAATCGATCTGTTGTCATGATAATACAGTTGCTATGGTAACACAACAACTATTTCAATCGATCTGTTGTCATGATAATACAGTTGCTATGGTAACACAACAACTATTTCAATCGATCTGTTGTCATGATTATACAGTTGCTATGGTGACACAACAACTATTTCAATCGATCTGTTGTTATGATTATACAGTTGCTATGGTAACACAAGAACTATATAAATCAATCTGTTGTAGTAATTCTACAGTTGCTATGGTAGCACAACAACTTAAGCAATTGATGTTGTAGTAATTCTATGGTTGCTATGGTAACAATAACTATATCAATCGATCTGTTATAGTAATTCTACAGTTACTATGGTAACACAACAACTTAAGCAATTGATGTTGTAGTAATTCTACAGTTGTTACGGTAACACAACAACTATTTCAATCAATCTGTTGTAGCAATTCTACAGTTGCTATGGTAACACAACAACTATATCAACAAATTTGTTGTAGTGATTCTACAGTTGTTATGGTAACACAACAACTATATCAATCGATCTGTTGTAGTGATTCTACAGTTGCTATGGTAACACAAAAACTATATAAATCAATCTGTTGTAGTAATTCTACAGTTGCTATGGTAGCCCAACAACTTAAGCAATTAATGTTGTAGTAATTATATGGTTGCTATAGTAACAATAACTATATCAATCGATCTGTTATAGTAATTATACAGTTGCTATGGTAACACAACAACTTAAGCAATTGATGTTGTAGTAATTCTACAGTTGCTATGGTACCACAACTATCAATTGATTTGCTGTAGTTTTATAGTTGCTATGGTAACACAACGACTACAGTATTATAAACAAATGAGTCAATACTGTCGTTTTCTATAACTATAGTGTATATTTTACTACCATACGCCACAGTTTACTGTAGTAAACAATAAAATATACTACATTATCAGTTCACTTTTGTTAAAACTACAGATGCTGGAGCAATCGTTAACAAATAGTTACTATAATATCTACAGTTTACTATAGTATAATTAAACAGCACTATAGTGTTTCATCACACGGCTCTTCGTGAGATTTATCAGCTCTTCATCAAACTCTTACCGCAGATGGCAGAAACCGCCCGCTGCTACTGCACTTCCGCTGCTTAGAGGAGCGCATTTTCGCTTCACTTCTCACTCACGGACACAAGCTTGTTCAGATACATGTTAAAGAAAATCAGATTTACAGCGAGCTTTCACGTTGCATCTCCTGGAAAGCGCATCCTTAGCAACCAACCTAAAGTAAACAGTAACCAGCACTTCCGCTGCCAGCCGCTGTCCAAGAGTACCTGTCGGTAAAGTGTAGAAGGGATACAGCTGTGGACGCGCACATACTGTATCATTCAGATTTACATTACTGTGAGAGTTGGGTTTAGAGGAAAACATTAATAAAATACAATTTAATGAATAATTTAATAAATAAAATGAATAATAATCGTTATAATAATACTAATAAATGATATAATACAATGTTATTTATTCATTTTTATTATTTCTATTTTATTTTTACTATTTCGTCTTCTCATGTTTGTGTTAGACATGTTTAAAAGAGAATGTGGAAAGTCTTTCCCTGTGTCTGCCATTTCAAGCATTTCCAAATTTTTCACTCAATAAAAAAACGTAATATAAATAAATAAAATGTATTACTATTATTATTCATTCATTTTCTTTCAGCTTAGTCCCTTTATTAATCAGGGGATGCCACAGTGGAATGAACCGCCAACTATTCCAGCATATGTTTTACGCAGCGGATGCCCTTCTAGCTGCAACCCAGAACTGGGAAACACCCATATACTACTGCCAATTTAGTTAATCAATTTCCCTATAGTGCAATTGTTTGAACCAGAGCACCCGAAGGAAACCCACGCCAACACGAAAAGAACATGCAAACTCCACACAGAAACACCAACTGACCCAGCCGGGACTCAAACCAGCGACCTTCTTGCTGTGGGGACACCGTGCCTCTCTTTCTATTATTATTAATAATATTAATTAACAGCATGTCCAAATGAGAACAGTTCTTCACATGTTAGTTTTTATTCCTACATAAAGACTGCCTGTTGATGAAGTGAGCTGTTGTTATCATGTTTGTGCGCTCCTGTGCTGAATATGCTTATGAGCTCCAGCACCTGCTCATTATCTCAGTGTTTCTCAGCATCTGCTTCAGCTCACACAATCCTCATCTGAACAGACTGAAGCTCTTTCACACACACAGACTGACTGTCCTTGGCTCAATCTCCTCTGATTTAATCCAAATCAAGTCTTTCTTTGTGCCGTGCTGAATTTATTAAACCAATCAGATCAGTCTGTCGGGAACTTTTTCCTTTGCACTATTGAGAAAAGCTCACTGCAACCTGTATTTAAAGGGCCAGTTCACCCAAAAAATATAAATTACTCGCTGTTTACTCTCGTTTGAGTGTATTCAAACATTTAATGAGCTTCTTCAGTTGAACACAAAGGAAGATATTTGAAGAATGTTGAAAACCGGAAATTATTGACTACCATAGGAAAATGATTACAATGGAAGTCAATGGTTACCAGTTTCCAACATGCTTCAAATGATCTTCTTTTGTGTTCAGCGCAAAAAAGAAACTCAAACGACATCTAAATGATGACACAATTGTCATTTTTGGGTGAGCTGTCTCGTTAAAGAGTGTTTGCTGCACTTGTGATAATGTGATACACTCAAAAAAATCGCTGGGTTGTTTTTAACACAATGTTGAATGTTCAAATTTAGACAAAGTTAAAAGTTATATTTAAAAGTGAAATATAAAGTGAACCCAACGTTGGGTTTGTCTATATTTGACCTGATGGCGTGGATCCTTTCTTATGTCTTAATGTTTATTAATAAAGTGAAATGGGCAGCACGGTGGCGCAGTGGGTAGCACAATCACCTCACAGCAAAAAGGTCGCTGGTTCGATTCCCGGCTTGGTCAGGTGGTGTTTCTGTGTGGAGTTTGCATGTTCTCCCCCGTGTTGCCGTGGGTTTGCTCCGGTTTCCCCCACAGTCCAAACACATGCGCTATAGGGGAATTGATCAACTAAACTAGTCGTAGAGTATGAGTGTGTGTGGGTGTTTCCCAGTGATGGGTTGCAGCAAGAATTTGAAAATGGATTTAGTAATGATGAAATGAACGTGAGAATGTGTGTTGGTCGATGCCAACTTCATGTCTGGCGTACGTGTATTTCTTGTGTATGTTCGTTTTATTTCCATTGGCGACTCCTAGAGCTATTATGTTAAATTGCACACTACAAAGGGGGATCGCGGACGCCGCCCTCTCTGTTATATTCTCCTGCCCTAAGGGGGGGGTAGTGCTCAGGTTTCGTGGATGATAATGAAGACAGGGGAAGGGGGGCGAAGGTGGATGGGAGGGGTTGGTGTTGTCATGGATAAAAGTGAAGAAGGGGGTGGCGGACACTGCCCTCTCTATCTACCGCCCTAGGCGGCGGCCTAGGTCGCCTCTATGGATGCCCCGGGCCTGCATATCAAGAGAGCGGGGTTCTCCATTAAAGACATGGCTGTTAACCCCCTCAACAACCCACACACTGACCAAGAGCACAGATACAGTGATGGTCATTCTCACTCTCGGTCAGTTGTAGAGCAGGCGATTGGGCAGCTGAAATGCAGGTGGCGCTGCCTTGATAATAGCAGAGGTGCTGCTATACCGCCCTAACAAAGTGTTCCTCTAATACATCTGTATGTCCCACAGACACGGACACTACTCCAGACAGTAAAGTGAGGAAAGTTAGTTCAGCATCCCCAGTTCGCTCCACAGTATGACGGTGCACCGCTGTTCTCCTCTTAACCTGCATCTTTACATCAGACTATTTCTTTTTTAATCCACTCACAGTGTGATGTTCAGACCCCACTGTGTTAACTCTGTCAGCTAATCTCTCACACTCTATTTCTTTCTTTTGTTCCGGAGGACAAACCTGCAAATAACACAGTTTTTCTCAGCTCTACGCCTGATAGCATCACCTCAGCACATTCGCCTTAAAGCAAGAAGGTCGCTGGTTCAAGCCCCGACTGGTTCAGTTGGCGTATCTGTGTGGAGTTTGCATGTTCTCCCCGTGTTGGCGTAGATTTCCTCCAGGTGCTCCGGTTTCCCCCACAGTCCAAACACATGCGCTATAGGGGAATTGAGTAAGCTTAATTGGCCATAGTGTGTGTGTGTGTGTGTGTGTGAACGAGTTGTGTTTGGATGTTTCCAGGTACTGGGTTGCAGCTGGAATGGCATCCACTGCTTAAAACATATGCTGGATAAGTTGGTGGTTCATTCCGCTGTGGCGACCCCTGATTAATAATGGGACTAAGCCAAAAAGAAAATGACACTAGTGCTACACCTGACTAACACACTAATTTCAATAATGAAATAATAAAGCGGTCCCACATGCATCTCACAGAGTCTCTGATGTGTTTCATTGGCTGATCATTATTTCTCCTTCTAGGAAACAGAGGTTTGAGCGTTTGCACATGAGCTGCTGCTGATGGTCAATAATCATCTGCATATTCATGAGCAGCCTCTGAATGAGCTTCAGTATTGTGTGTTTCTCAGTAACGCAGCACGGCTTCACCTGTAATAACACACACACACAC